ATTGTTGTAAGAGACTAGTGTAAAATTGTAGAGATAAACATTGTATGTATAGATGTAGTAATTAATTATTATTTTTTACTTTCTTCTTTTTGATTTATTCTAGGGGATTCGTTTTGTGGGCGTAACAGACTAACCTTAACTAGGTGGTCAAAAGTCACAATGGTCGAGATTTTTAGACGATTGGAAACAAATGTGTTACTCTCCCATTTTCTCTCCATGTTGGTTTGGTTTAAGAGTGAAATAAGCACTTATAATTTGACCCAAAAAAAGAAAAGTTACCTAAAAAGTAAAACTTACCTTTGTTAACTTAAGCATAGCTGAATATGCTGATTGTGTCTTGAGTTGCTTTCCACAATCTCGAGACTTGAGTGTTCATTGCTTGTAGCGTATAATATCAAACAATGTCTTAAATATTGCAAAAATGCTTAATGTACAATCAAAATTGTACAGTAATTTTGACAGCTCTCTCCCATGGGTGGAGCTCACGATTATTTTAATCGTGGACCCCACCAAATGCATGTGAAAGGGTTGTCAAAATTAATGTAACTCTAGCATTTCTCTAAATATTGACATGAGTGCTCATTGCTTGTAGCGTATAATATCAAACAATGTCTTAAATATTTTCTGAATTGTTGTGATACAAAATAAATTATTAATTATAACAATTAAATGATTAATAATTGATTAATTTAATTTAATTAATTGACTATATTTTAATGAAGTTGCATAATTAGAGTGAAAATTTGTGCTTTGGTAAAAAAAGAATATATATATATATATCGTGTGTTATGTTAGAATGCAGAATAAGAATTACTAAGACATTAAAAAGTTTCTATAATTCAAGACAACAATTTTTTCTAACTTTTCAAGTTTTTGTTATGTCTATAATAAAGTATTCAAATTTTTTTAATAAAAAAAAGATGATTAATTATTTAATTGAGTTTGAATCATGAACTTTCAACTTTTAATTTCAAGAACGAAGAAGATGAAAATAGTGTTAAACGTGCTATGTGTTGTAATTTTGTATATTGCAGTATATATTGCATTTTTTATATTGTAGGTGTACGATATCGTAACAAGCAGTATAGTAAACTTTTGAGTCCAAATATTGTTCCCACGAAAGCTATACTTTAAGACTTAATCTAATTTTTCTAACTTCTATCTGACAAAAGTAAGTAAATAATTATGATTGTTGTGATTATTTTTCCTAACTACGTTTAACTACTTGACAATATAAAAAAGATTACACACAACAGATAATTGAATATTCAAATATGTGATGAATATTAGGGCATAACAATTTCATTTATTGATTACCTCAATTCTTAATTCAAGATTCATACAATTTAGTGTTCGATTAAATTCTTTTATTGTATTCAATTTACACCTCTCAGGTTCACATTTAGCCTATTTAATTAATTAAATTTCATCTCTCTATGTAAATCAATTTTAGTTAAACGAAACACTAGTTATAAAAATCCATATTATAACCGCAATAATTAGTGTAGATATCTCTACACGTTATGCTAATTTATCGAATTTTACTATATGGTTTAAATCTCAAACTCACATCTCGATTCGTAAGAAACTCATATAATCATCAAATTATTAATGATGTAATATAATGTATTAAACTCATAATAAAATCAACACATAAATAAATAAATCATATAAATCTTGAATAGAAAAATAAAGGATCACAAGACAACTACACTGTTTTCCCTAATATAAAAATTAGTGATTCATACTGTAAAAATAAAATATGCAAAAATAAAAGGACATCATAAAAAATTGACGAAACGTGAAACTGCTCGTGTATGTCGTCCCTTTTCTTTTCCTTTTCTCTTTTTTCTTTTTCTTTCTCTTTTCTCTTTTCTCTCAGCGTTCTTTTTCTTTCTCTTTCCTTTATGCTGCCTTTTTTTTTTTTTTTTTGACTTTTCCATTCAACTGCTTTGCCTCCCTCCTCTTTCTTCTTCTTCTTCTTCTTTTTTTTTTCTCTTTTTCAGCCACCAAATTCTATTTTTTTTGCCATGCGTTTCATATGCCTGTGTGTTTATATATTATGTAGTTTTAATTTGGTCCTTCAATTAAAATTTTCGTCCATTGAAATTTGAAACCCATTTAGCTTCAATCCATTTATTGTACCATTTCTCTCCAACGTTTCATTTTTGGATTTTGCCATTTTTCTCCACTTTTGCATTCATTTCTCCAATTATTTATTAAACATAAAATTTTCTCTACAAAATACAATATAACATAAATTAGGTGAAATTTTATCCAAAAGACAATAAAAAATATGATTTATGACCTCGAATAAGTGTAGAAACTACGCTTATCAGTATTGTTGTAAGAGACATGTAAAACTGTAGAGATAAACCTCGTATGTATAGATGTAGTAATTAATTATTATTTTTTATTTTTTTCTTTTTGATTTATTCTTGGAGGGTTCGTTTTGTTGGCGCAACAGACTACCCTTAACTAGGTGGTCAAAAGTCACAATGGTGGAGATTTTTTAGGAGATTGGAAACAAATGTGTTACTCTCCCATTTTCTCTCCATGTTGGTTTGGTTTGAGAATGAAATAAGAGCTTATGATTTGACCAAAAAAAACAAGTTACCTAAAAAGTAAAACTTACCTTTGTTAACTTAAGCATAGCTGAATATGCTGATTGTGTCTTGAGTTGCTTTCCACAATCTCGAGACTTGAGTGCTCATTGCTTGTAGCGTATAATATCAAACAATGTCTTAAATATTTTTTGAATTGTTGTGTGACAAAATAAATTATTAATTATAACAATTAAATGATTAATAATTAATTAATTAATTTAATTAATTAACTATATTTTAATGAATATATATACACACACTAGGTTTAAGCAACGTGCAATGCACGTTT